TATGTGGGCCTTCATGCTGACCTATTTATTAGCCCTTTAAACTATCATTTTCTAATAATTAACAGGAACATGACTATTTAGCGAAATAAATCCCAAAGTGGCAGTTTACTAGAGGTACCCTAGAGATTTTAATGACGTGTAACACAACACTGCCTTGCTGACTCTTGATAGGGCACTCTGCCCCGTCACAGGGCCAAGCCACCCTCAGAGAGCCAGCATGGCCTGCCCCGCTGGCTCCAGAGGCTGGAAGGATGGCAAGAGGGAGGTGTTGGTAACAAGTTTGCCTTGCCTTGCCTTGCACAGTAATCTCTGCCCACCGTCTGGTCTGTGGCAGACCTGGATAAAACACAAGAATAAGAATTCAAGCCAGGAATTCTCGCTGTGGCAAGCGTCCCAAACTGGGTAAAAACCATCAATTAATGGAAATGTCAGTGACTACTCCCTTCTTAGCACAAGAGTCAGGTTTGGGATTTACACTTGCCCTCCATGAGCATGTGATGTGCCAAAGAGTTTTCCTCCAAACAAGTTCAGACTCTGTGGATGGATGAAAGGAGGCCCTTCCTGTAAGATGCAACTGACTTTGCCCAGGAGATAAAAGGAAACAGGACTTCCAGAAACTTCGAATTCAGCACAGGTGAAAATTTTAGCTTTTCTGATTTCATCTTGCCTAACCCCAACCTCCTTACACACACACACACACACACACACACACACGAAGAATCATAAAGAAACTGGTAACTTAAACCTCAAATCCCAAGTTTACGTCTTAGAGTTTGAAGAAATATTGAACTAATTTCTTTGGATAAAAAGAGACAAGAATTTGATATTCTCATTTAATTAAATATCAGAAATTGCATGCACACTGTAACAACACTAGACCGTATACCTATAATATGATCCTGTTTATATTTTTAATGACCTAACATTGCTGATCATACCGAGTGGATGCCGGGGTGAAATATTCAGCTGAGATGCTGGCATTGACAATTGTAGGATGTGTGTCCCCTCCTCCCCAAATTCCTGACTATTTTTGGTCATCCAAGAAGAATTCATTGTCCCTCCGCCAAGAGTCAGAAGCAAAACACCAGCAGCCTGGGTGTGGCCGAAGGATGCTGCCAGCTGAAGAGCAACGTGTGCCCACAGCAGTTCTGAGACCCTGCAGACAGCCCAGCTTTCTCGGGAGCCCATTTTATTAACTAAGTAGCAACGAGCTGCAGGAAGTCTCAAGATTAACGGCCAGTTTCTTCTGTCAAGAAATTCATGCCTATCACATGGAGTAAAATTGTATTCTGGAGCCATTAATAAGTCCTCTTGGTGGGGAGTAGCCTGAGATTCTAGACCTCAAAGCACCCAGAGCCTGGAGCCCCACATCCCTCCTCTGAGCAGGGCAGGAGGAGAGCAGGGGACTCGCGTGTTAAGGGAGACAATTTTTGGACAAACACTGTCCCTTGTAGTGGCTGGACTAAATAAACAATGGTCAAACACAAATCACCACTACTGTGCCTGTGACAGAACCAACCATGTGCCGCCTGCCCAGGCATTTGATACACATTAACTCACTTAACTATGTAAGCCCCAGGACAGTTACAATTTTAGTCCCCATTGTATAGGCAAGAAAACAGGGCCTCAGAGGGGTCACATAACGTGCCCATGGTTACATGTCACAGGTGACAGATTCTGAATTTGAGCCCAAGTTTGATGGGCTCTGAAGCTTGAACTTATTTCTACATTCCACAAAAATAATACCTACCTCTCAGACCCTTTGGAAGTCCACGCTTCTCCTGTCTCTCAGATGTCCTTTCAAATCCACCTTTCTTATCTGCCCTGAATGTTCGGCAGAAGTCTGTCTCTTGTCCAGAGGCCCTACTTGGTGGGGTCACAGTTCTCTGCCCCCAGCATCTACCCCAGGGTGAGGAGGGTCCATCCTGTGCACTCCTAACATCCATGGTAGAGTCCTCGTTCCCTGAACATGGCAAATCTTAGATGTACTTTTAGGAGGGCCGAGCCAGACGAACCCGATAGCAAGCACACCTGGCTGCACCCGTAAAGCAGAAAACCCAGAAGTTGTCAGGCCGTGGGTTTACTGGTTTCCCCAGCTTGCTGTGAAGCGCCAACAATGACGGCGTTTCCCGGAACGCTGAGCCACGGGGTTACCAACGTGCCCAAAGGCTGAATGGCCCAGGCTCCTTGGCACAAGCCCTTCGGGCGCCTCTGCCAGGCACCGTCTCACTGCCCCCCTTTCTGCAGGAAGCCGCGGGCAGTCCGCTGCCCCGGCCGCACACTGCCGTCGCTGGGCGGGTTCCAACCAGACACCGGCTGGGTCCCACCCCCCGGGGCTCTGATGGCACCGGCGTGGGGTGCGGCCTGGACATCTGGATTGTAAAAGCGCCCCCGGGGATTCTAAGGTGCAGGCAGGATGGAGAAGCCCTGGCCAGACCACCGTGGGGCAAGCGAGTCCGCGGACGCTCCCGCCACACTCCTCGAGGTCGGGCCTTTCCGTCCCACCGGGAGCCCTCCGGGCCGCTCCGCGTTCCGCCCGCACGCCGGCCCCCCGCCCTCCGCTCTCGCCGCGCCCCGGACCCCGCAGGCGTCTGCCCGCGCACACGCGCCCCGGCGCTGGGACTTACCTGGCCGCCACGCGGGCAGAGCGCGGTCGCGGGCCGGGGCGCGGAGGCCAGACCCGGGCGCACAGCGCGCAGCGGAGCGGGGAGCAGAGCGGGAGCCGCCTGGCCGGCCCAGAACGGGAAGTGGCGGGATGGCAGCGGCGGCCGCGCCCCTCTGGTGGCTGCGGAGAGGCCGGGCGGTGCCGGGGCGGCCGAGGCGGGGCGGCCGGAAGGCGGGAGGCGCGGAGCGCAGACGGTGGCACCGGGCAGCTCTGGGGCGCTGCCTGCCCAGCACTGGCCGCTAAGCCATCGCGCAGGGGCGGGTGGCCAGGCCCGAGAGTTCGCCCAGGGGTGACACTCGAGAACTCGTCGTGCCAGCTGGGCCACGGCTGCCGCGAGCCCAGGCCCATCCCCCTAAAAGCGCAAACCCAGCAGCTGCAACTAGAGGCAACGCCTGGGCAAGGCAGTGAAACGTTTTTTTGTTTTGTTTTGTTTTTTAACTTTTTTTTACTCTCTGTTTTTTACTTGAATGTAGTGGGGTGACATCGATTGATAAAACCATACAGGTTTCAAGTGTACGGCTGTATAGCACGTCATCTGCACACTGCATCGCGCGCTCACCACCCAAAATCAAGTCTCTCTCCACCGCGGTCTAGCTCCCCTTTGCCCTGTGGCACTCCTGACAGTGCAACGCTTGTTAAAATGGGACACGTGCCCTCCGTTGAATCCCAGCGCAGGGTGTAAGGAATCGGGGCGCCGCCGAATAAAACAGAGAAGAGACTGGAGAGACAATCAGCCGAATAAACAGGGATCAGGCTTTATTGGGTGCACTCCGGGCGGGTTCACAGACTCCGGGGGTCGAGTCCTAGAAGCCGCGCTCAATGTAGGGGCTTGTGTCTTTTATATCTGCCTGTTGCAGCTGGAATTTGTCCCTTAGAGTTTGGCCCTGCGGGGGGTTATGCATGGAGCCTCTGTAATGTGAATAGATAAGAGCCAGATGGGAGTTAATCTATAGCCTGGAGGCAGGCCGTTCAGGGTGGGAGGCAAGGCTGAGTAAGGAGACAATGGTCGAGCACTTTGCCTGGTGCCAGTCCCCAGGCCATCGGACACAGGGTAATCAAACTTTTACCACAGAGCATACCCTTGGAGTTATACGTGTTTAAATCTAAGCTTTCCTTCTTGTCCTTAAATCTGTTCTTGGCGGTGTGCATTTTAATTCTACATGGTATACTGTAATGACTTCTAAAGGAAGTCTTAACATATTAATAAACTTCCCCAATAAAATATATTTAAACGTTTGAAATGGGGAAGGTCTACATTAAGCATAGGGGGTGCTGTAAAAAATTGTTACTTATTCACACTAAAATACATTCAATCATGTGACCACGTGCTCACAAATATTGACATTCCTATCAAAGTCTGCTTTCTGGGAAAAGGATTTTCCTAACTCAAAAGTAAACTTTGCAAACGTAAAATTGATGAAATCCATTGTTCAAACTTATAAGCACCAAAAAGATGCTAAAGATACTAATTCCTCCAGTTTTCTCTTATATGAACCTCTACGATTCTGAATTTTACATGTTTTTTAACTCTTTTATTTTTCCCATATCCTGTTTGTCTGGATGCATTCTGAGCAACTTCTTCAGTTCTGTTCTCCATTCATTAATTATTTTGTAAATATTTGAATCTGCTGTTTAACTGCTCTGGGATAGGCAGACTAGTTCCTCCGCCTCTTCCATGATGTCCACCTCTGATACTTGGAACCTGTGAAGATGGCAAAGGAGAATTAAGGTAGCAGATGGGATGAAGGGTGCTAATCAGCAGACTTTAAGATGGGAACATGATCATGGATCATGTGTTGGCCTAATATAATCACAAGGATCCTTATAAGAGGAAGAGGAGACAGAAGAATCAGAGATGGCAGTCTGAGAAGGACTTGACCTGATTTGCTGGCTTTGATGATGGAGGAATGGGGCTAAGAGCCAAGGAACATGTGTGGTTTCTGCAAGCTGGGAAAGTAGAAGAAACAGATTCTCCCATAGAGCCTTCAGAAGGCTGACACTTTGATGTTAGCCCCAATGAGACCTATTTAGACGTCTGACCTCCAGAACTATAAGAATGAGACCCATTTAGACGTCTGACCTCTGGAACTGTAAGATAATACATTTGTGTTGTCTTACGTCACTAAATTTGTGGCAACTTTTTACAGCAGCGTAGGAAACCAATACACCATCCATTTAAGTTCTTAATTTCAACAATAATGCATTTGCTGTCTAAGAGTCTTTGGTTCTATTTCTAGTTTCTTGGCCATTTTTAACACTCTCTTGTTCTTTGCTGATTTCATCATTTAAAAAAATGCATATGTCATTAATTTTTGGTTTTCATTAAACTTTTTATTTTGAGATAATTATAAATTCACATGCAGCTTTCAGAAATAATGCAGAGAGATCCATGTACCCTTAACCTAATTTCTCCCAATGGTAACATCTTATAATATCACATCCAGGATGTTGCTGTTGATACAGTCAAGATATAGAACATTTCCATCACTACAAAGATCCCTCATGTTGGCTTTTTATACCGTATCACCACCTCTTTAACCACTGGCAACTACTGATCTGTTCTCCATTTCTATAATTTGTCATTTCAAGAATGTTATGTAAATGGAAGCATACGGTATGTAACATTTGGGGGTTGTTTTTGTTCACTCAGCATAATTCTCTGGAGATTCATCCAGGTCATATCAATAGTTCTTTCCTTTTTCTTGGTGAGTAAATAGTATTTCACAGTACTACCACAGATTGCTTAACCATTCACAAATTAAAAGACATCCGGGTTATTTCCAGTTTGGCGCTATTATGAATAAAGCTGCTACAGACATTCATGTATAGGTTTATTTGAACATAAGTTTTCATTTCTACAGGATAAATGCCTGGGCGTCCAACTGCTGGGTATTATTGTAGGTGCATGTCTAGTTTCTTAAACTGTCAAACTGTTTTCCAGAGTAGCTGTACCATTTTACATCCCCACCAGCAAATGTATGAGTGATCAATGGTTAGATGGATAAATTGTGATATACTCATACAATAGAATATGATACAGCCATAAAAAAGAATGAAGTGCTGATGTATGCTAAATGTTGGTGAACCTCAAGGACAGTGTGCTAAGTGAAAGAAGCCAGACACAAAATGTCACATATTGTATGATTCCTTTTACATGAAATGTCCAGAATAGATGAATCCAGAAACAGAAAGCAGATTGGTGGATGCTGGGGAATGAGGGGAGGAATGGGAGTAACTGCTTAATGGATATAGGTTTTCCTTTGGGGTGATGAGACCTTTGGAAGTAGACAGAGCTGGTGGACAACACTGTGAATGTATTAAATGCCACCGAATTGTTCACTTTAAAATGGTTAGCTTCATGTGTGAATTTCATCTCAAAAAAGTTAAAGAAAGGCAGTTGTAAACGCTATTATGTTTTTTTACAGTGTCCATGTATTCATTGATTTTTCTGTGTTTATCTTGTATGCCGTGACTTTACTGAACTCACTTATTAATTCTTAGGGATACTTTTGGTAGATTCCTAGAGATTTTCTACGTAGACAATCATATCATCTATAAATAGGGACTGTTTAATGTATTGTTTTCCAATCTATGCCTTTCACTTTCTTTTCTTGCCTTATTTCACTGGCTAGAACTTCCAGCAGTTTTAAAGTTGTTATGGGGAGAAGAGGAGGTGGTTCCCTACTAGGCCTTTTTTTAACACTACTCTGGTAGTGGTGGCAGAAGACCAGGTTAGGGAAACTTGTTATACAGCCTGGTGAGGGTAGAAGTCTAGGTCCCCTCCTGACCTTGACTGGCTAGAAGTGGTGATGGTGGGATGTACACAGTTTTTCTCTGTGGTTTGGCTGAAGTAGAGAATTTAGTCTCTAGAAGTTGTCTGTCTTGCTAGACGACCTGTTTTCTACTCCTTTCCCTAGATAGAGCAGCCTTTAGTATTGCTATTTTCTGTCTCTGCTCATTGGTGCTTTTGGGTTGCTGGCTTCTCCAGCTACAAGGCTGAGATGTGTGATGCAAAAGAAAACCCGGGGAATTCAGGACCATGCCATGCCTTGGTCCAGAGGTCCCTGGCTAGTCTGTCCTCTCTCCAGCTTGCAGTCTCCTGTTTGTTTTCTATAGAATGTTCATGGATTTTAGTGGTACTTAACTGAAGGAACAGGGAAGAGTATGTTTACTCAACCTTCCCAGAAGTCAACATCACCATATATATTTATTTTATATTGCTTTTGATCATTTCAATCTCAAAACCTTGGGGATCTACATGTTTATGTTCCCACTCATGATGTACCATTTTCCTTATTATCTTTAAAATTTTTAAGTGGAAATCCTGAGGACTTAAACTAGGATTGCTTATTTCAGAGGGTTTGCATCTGCTTCTGTTGGGAGCCACACGGCTAACTGGAGATCATTTTAGTTCTCAAGGGTCCTCGTTTCAGAGAATTCTCGGGTTGTTTCCCTGTGGCAGCAGTGGTGTTAGTCTAGTTCCAGGGCTGTTATTGGCATTTGTACCCAAGGATATAAGGGTCATTTGTTTACTAGTGCTATCTTTTAAGCTCAGTTTATCTTCTTTCTTTTTTGTGGGAGAGGGATTGGTACACTTTGAAGATTATCCTTATTTTCTTACAAGCCCAGAAATGCTTTTCAAAAACAATGATCGTTATGGTTTATCCATGGACTAGTTTGTATTGTGGTTTACAGGGCCCAAATCACTGGTAGAAACGGAAATCCCTTATGTACAACATTTGGTAGTATCTCCTTGACAGTGACTGGAAAAACTACGCCTCATGATAACAAGATCTTTTTTAAAGGCCAGACATGAAGGTTTTATTGCTAGTCTTCTAAACTCTTTAATGAAAGCTGCCATTTTGGGTGAGATAGAGTGTTAGAGTAATATTCGGTTTTTATTTCTACAGCAAAACTGAGCCTTGTCCACTGCATCACCATAACTGGGTTCCAGGTCACTGAGAAACTTGGTTGTCTTTGGACCAGTTAAGACCTGGAGGAAACTAGAACATTGGAGGGTATACTTGAAAATAGTGAAGTATAACAGCTGTAAATCATGGTCTGACCTGCAGTCTGTGGCTCAGTGTCACCACACAATCGTAGCTGTCGCTGGAAAGTCCTTTGGCCATTTTCCCCAGTAGAACAAACCAAATCTTTACTTTATGCTTCTGAAGCTAATTCACTCGCATCCCAGTGGCCTGTTTGGAGGTCCAGCTCCCTGCATTTCCGACAGAGGAGAGTTTTTGATAAGCAGGATTGCTTTATTCATGATTCTTCTTTCCTCCGTTTATTCAGTTAATAAATGTCAGGTGAGCCAAGAATCAAACTGTAACTTCCGGAAAACATTCTGTCCTCATCTTGCCTCCTCTAGTTCAAAATCCCATTTCAAGGGCAGCCCTGAACAAACTTAATTCTTCAATAAGGACAATAATGATTGCTAATATTTATGATATGCCAGGTTCTATTCTAAGCTCATTACATATATTTACTCCTCAAAACAATCCTAAGCCAGAGGTGTCTGGCTGTCCCCACTCTACCGGTGAGGAAGCCGAGGCAGAGGGTCAGATAGAGACAGAGGTGGAACTGAGCCGGTCCTGGGCTGCCCGGTCCAGTCTGCCCAGTAACCCTCCCGCAGCGGACTGCACACGGCCCAGGGCAGACCCACTGTGTGTGACGACCGGACTCTCTAACAAAATGACGTGAAATGCTTCAGTGGGAATCCAGGCTAGACCACAAGCACATGGATTCCTCGAAGAAAAGTAGGCCAGCTTTTAAATTTAAAAAACATTTTCAACTGTCTCTGCAGTTTGCTTGCTCGTATTAAGCTGATAAAAAAGAAAAAAAATTCCAGAGCAGAGCCATTCACCAGCAATGTCATTAAGTTGCAAATCTATCCTTTGTCACAGCAAGAACACCCTTCAGATCAACTCAAGAAAATAACTTCACAGAAAAGTGCTCACAGAAGAAGTCCCCACATCCATGTATCATGCATTCCAGCACTTCGTGTCCCCTCTGCAACTGCCTCAGTCCTAACCCAGTTCCTTTTTATAGTCTGAAAACAAGGAATCACTCAAGTGAGATGTCCCTTCAGAGCACTGTTGAAAATATATTAAACGGAGAGATATCCCAGATCCCTGTTCCAAATGTTAAAAATATATTAAATGGGCACATAGAGAAAATATCCATAGGTATAGTCTATATCACGTTCTAACAAGTTTTCTTTTCCCCTTTTTTGATAATGTCTTCGATTTCTTCTGAGACGCTCCCTTTGTAGTCATTTGGTTCTATCGCATTTAACTTCTTCTGATACTCCGGTGGCAAGCCATTCTCTTTTGCACCCATGCAAACGACCTAGAAATGGTAAAAGTAAACAAAAAGACCTCTTTTAGGTAGGAACATAATTTAACTTAGAATACCACAGCTTTATTTGCAGTATCGAAGCATGAAATATCAGCTGTCAGACAATTTTACAATAACTCTAGAGCCAGCAATCACAGAACAAAATGGAGACACGGTCACGCCTTTTACAATGAGGAAGCATGTGCACAGTTTTCAAAGCCCCGTGGTGGGTCCTCATGGCATCAATGTTCCTTAAGAATATGACTTAAAGTATTTTTATATTAAGGGAAAAAACTTATTGTATAGACATTGCATGATCTTTTAAGAAAAACTATCATTCTGCCCTGGCTGGTTTGGCTCAGCGGTTAGAGCATCGGCCTGCGGTCCAGAGAGACCCAGGTTTAGTTCCCGCTAAGGGCATGTCCTTTGGTTGCAATTTGTCCCCGGCCCTGGTTGGGTCGTGCGGGTGGCAGCCACTTGATGTGTCCCTTTCACGTCGATGTTTCTCTCTCTCTCTCTCTTCCTCTCTCTCCCTCCCATTCTGTCTGAATAAAGAATGAAAAAACGTCCTCGGGTGAGGATAAAAAGAAAAAAGAAAAAATATCATTCTTTAAAAAAAATTAAAGTTTACAGGGAGCAATGTTATTATTTTTAAAAATGTTTTGAATTTTTAGAGAGAAGAAGAGAGAGAGAGGAAACATCGATGTGAGAGAGAAACATTGATCGGCTGCCTCCTGCACACCCCCATTGGGGATCAAGCCTGTAACCCGGGCATGTGCTCCAGCTGGGAATCGAACCGGGACCTCTCAGTCCATGGGAGGATGCTCAATCCACTGAGCCACACCGGCCGGGCTACAGGGAGCAATTTTGGTTGAATCCCAGGGTCTAGTCTACCTCTGAACTAGACATGAGGAAATAAAGGGCAGCGGTATTCAGGGTACTTCGCAGACTCACACCGGGCTAATCCTCCAGGCCCCACACTGGAAAAGTCCAGAGCCAACCCAGGAACTGGGTCACCCATCTGAGTGCCATGTTCTGATTGGGCCTGCTAACAATACCTAAGTTTCGGTTTCTGAAACGAGTGTTGCGGTCTCTACCCCACATTTTTCCTCTTGGGCTTGTGGTGAGTGTGAATTTATTTTTTCTATGTAGGGATGGAAAATATTTCAGTAGTAGGAAATATATTTTTCCCCATTAAAATTAATCTTGGTGTTCATGTTTTGTAGAGAAAAAAAAAAAAGAATGATTACAAAAGCCTGTGTATAGAAAGAAAATACATGTTTAGAATCAAGATTCATATATTTCTAAAATCTTTTTTTTAAATAAAGTTTTAGGAACATAGTTCTCCCATTACAAATAAACCTGAACACTGCACTTCTGGTAAATAACTATAATTTCTGTATTTAAAATGTTTGATTAAAGTGAATTATTCATGTAGAATTTAAAATCCACAAAGCTTTGAAAAAACAAGATATTCTTTAGTTCAGCTCAGTAAAAATTAAGAGGAATCACCAAAAGTCTTAGTAAGCAGCTTACCTTTTTATACTGGGGTGAAGGCGCTGCGCTTTCATAATTTCTCATCTGATAACTTCGACAGGTTATTTGTTTTCCTTCTTGAGTGTAAACATTAATTTCTATCGGGGCATATGTTCCACTATTAACCCCTTCTTGCCTGAAACCAGAACAGCCACATTTTAACCACACTTGACTTAGCCAAGTTTGTTTACTGGATTAAGAACGTAACTATATAGGGATGTATTGCTCCCTCTGTGCTTTGGGATATAGTAGAACATACTATACCACTGCCACATCAAAAGTAAACAGCATTTCAGTTAGAAAACCTGAGACTGACTCCTACTTGCTATACTTCTAACAGATCTCTGTATTTATCCTATGTAATAACATGCTTCAATGCAGTTTTCATCTTTATATACCAGGAACATTGCTCCTAGGCTCCAAAAAGTGGACGGTGTGTTCCAATAGCAGAACATCAGCCCGAGAAGAGCAGAGGACACTCATTCTCATTCACAGGTGAGGGAGGCACCAGCACGTCAGATAATCTGCTCTTCTCGGATCCTACTCTTCTCTGCCACCTTTCCTTGTACTAAATGCTCTGCCCCACGACTCACGGGAATTCTAGTTATACAAAAGATCAAAGCATTCCTAGCATGTTGTTAAAGTTTTTACAAATCATCATTCCTTTTTACGGATTCAACTGCCATCATTAAGAATTCGTTTTCAAAAACTGGCTCTAATGAAAAGTGAACAAATGCTTTTGAAATCAATATGCATATGTAACAATTACAGAAATCTTCATGCTTCTCCACCATATGGATCTACAAAGATTTTTATAAGACAACCAGAATGGAAATAAGGACTTCCATCTTTTACAGAAGAGATTACACATGTCACCCCCAAATCTCTATCAGAAAGTGTGACCCTTCTAGGCTTTTCTCTTTAGGAAATGCACAGTATACCTTCCATGTTAACGCCAAACTATAAAGAATATGTCTGTAGTATATGGTTTTGAAAACCAACACACACACACACACACACACACACACACGCACATCCCTGCATATGATCCACTTTTGGAATTTGTCATTATTTAATTTATAATTAGAAGCCACCTACTTATCCAGAGAACTTAAATTGCTTTTGTTCATTTTCCATACTACTCCCCACACTTCATCGCCAGGACTTTGATAAATGGTGGCTATACCTCCATGCCAAGTTTCACTTGTTTTGCCTTGGGAATTGCCAAAGTCAAGCTTAAAATCCTACAAAGAAAACCAAAGTGATATGATCAATATTCTCTTGAACCAAAATTTCCCTCCTCAAAATAAAAAAATTACCTTGAACTTCATGCAAATAAACATAAACTTTGAGTTCCTTCTATGTGTAAATAGCTGTGGAAAATACAAAGTTAAACAAACAAGAACCCAGATCTCAAGGACTGTATGTATTGTTTCATATTTTTCTTTAAAAATGAAATGTATGTTGAATATATATAGTATCTTACCATAAACAAAAGGTTTAAGGGGGAAGAAAAATCTCATAACCCAAATGCCTTAACACTATTTTTGAAAATTACTTCCCAGTTTATTTACACATAGATTTTAACTTAGAGGCAACCATAGTGTACATAATTATTGAAACTGAGTGAAGACTACATAGGGGTTATAATATTCTCTCTACTTCTGTGTATGTGAAGAGTATCCTACTAGCATATATCACCATGTTTGCCCTAAGGGAGCTGGCATTTGCAGGTGACTTGTATATTTATGAATACTAAGCTAATATTTGTAAACTGTACTAATACATCTTGTACATAATAATCCTAAAAGCAGCTATCACGTACTGGAGAACTACTGGGTATTATGCACTGTGCTATGAGCTTTACATGGACTCTCATTTTTATCCTAATAACCTTATTATACCCATTTCACAGCAAGAAAAATTGTGGCTTACAAAGATTAAGCAACTTGCCTAAGGCCTTACAATTAGTAAGTAATGGAACCAGGTTTCCATTTTAGCTTCTTCCCTTAGAGAGAGGACATAGTTCCAGGAGATGAAAAATCCTTACTTGGCTGTTTGGTCTAGGAAGATTCCTTTCCATCTTTCCATAAATTAGTTTCCTTAATAATACATTTTAAAAGGCTGGACTAGATAGTAAGTCTAAAGTTTACATTTTATCTCTGTCACCTTTATTTTCTTAAAAACTTTGTCAGATATTTTAGGAAAAAGGTTGTTTTGAGTGACCAGTACCTTCAACTGGTATACCGGGCATTCTAGGATCAACTGTCCCATCAGAGGATCTGATAAAAGTCACAGCCACACTCGTCTACTGCTAAATCCAAGAGCGATCTTCATTCTTCATCTTGTTCCACTCCTCAGCTGCTTCTGACATACTTAACCAACCCATCTTGACCTGCCTTCATCCTGACTTTCAGACTGTTTCTTGATCTCAATTCCCTTTGCCAAGTCCTCTTCCACTACATGATCTTTAAATGTTGGGGTTTCTAAGGGCTCAGTTTAGGCCCTTTTCTCTGTTTATTCAATGGTTTGCGCAAGACAATCTCATCCCCTTCAATAGCTTCAAATACCATCCAATATTCCAGTCATCATTTAATCCAGCCCAAATCTCTCTCTGATCTTCAAAAGTACTTAGAACAAGCCTAGCACACATTGAGTACTTAATAAATTTTCACTAATATTTTTTGCTCACTTGGATTTAAAACAAACATCTCAAACTCAGTACGTTCAAACTGAGCTGGGTTTTCCCCCAAAACCTGATTCTTCTCTTTACCAACGTGGCCATCACCCACCCTGTTATTACACAATGACCTTTGTCATCCCTATTATCTCCTCCTCCCTTCATAATCAATCACTAAGATGACAGTTACCTCCTAAATATCTCCCAAATCCACCTACTCTCCACTGCTACTGCTCAGGGCCATAATCTTTAGGATGGACTGTACAAAAAGCTTTCTAACTGGGCTTCCCACATCCACTGTTGCCCCCTCCCCCTTCCAATCCATTTTCCACAGCAACCGCATGAGCTTTCAAAGATGAAAATCTGGCCCTGACTGGTTTGGCTCAGCGATTAGAACATCGGCCCGTAGACCAAAGAGGCTCGGGTTCGATTCTGGTCCAGGGCACATACCTCAGGTGCAGGCTGGGGTCATGCAGGAGGCAATCAATCCATGTGTCTCTCTCACATCAATGTTTCTCTCTCTCTCCCTCATGCTCTATCTGAAGATAAATGGAAAAATATCCTTGGGTAAGGATTAAAAACAATTTTTTTTTTCAAAGATGAAAATCTGATCTTTCCTTTGCTTAAATTCTACAATGGGTCTTTTCATGCTCTTAAAATAAAAACCAGTCTCCTTTGGCACCTGTGGTCTTGCAACACACGAACCTTCGTGACCTCTGCAGTCCTCCTGCTACATCTTCTTCATGAACTAGCTTCTCTGGAGGTCTTTCCTTCTGCTTGCTTCTTCCCTCCCCCAATCAGGCAGGTCTCCACTTAAAAATCACATTTTCTGGAAGAGTTTTACTGAGCATCCCAGTTAGGTCAGGTCTCCATCCACATCATGCAATCTCATAGCACACTGTATATCTTCTTAAAAGAAAAAACAAAAAAAGACCACTTTTTTTTGGAGCAGTTTTAGGTTCACAGCAAAACTGAGAGGAAGTCTCCTTTTTAGGACTAACCATACCTGTAACTGGATAATCATTTGCTTGCTAGTTCTTCCCCTCATCTCAACTATAAGTACCTGAACTTCTTTTCCACATTTGAGGAATTCCCTACTTTATGCGTCTGCGGGATAGAGAGTGCCAGAACCAGAGTCCCAGTTTTGAAGCTTTAAATGCCAGAAATTGGTTCTCTCAGATTTTCTTGGACACATGGCCAAAATTTAGCCGATCTGGACACCGCCCGGGGCTTTGAATTATACCCAAGGACAGCAGAAACTCCACCCTGGTGGTGGCAGTCACCTCTGGGTTTCAGGATCTGCAGGGGTTACTGACAGTGGCAAGCAGGGTCCAGGACAGGTGGTGCTGGTGATGCATGAGGCAGTGTTCATGTTTACCTCGTTGGGCAGGGGCGCAGCAGTGGCCTTCTGGGCTGCTTCTGTCTGTGGCACTGGCTGTATTACGGTGGCTGCGCCTCCCTTTATGCCTGCCTGCTTTGTGGGCTTTGTGGGCTTTGTGGTCCTAACCTCCTGGTCATTCTGCAAGCTCTCCAACAGCCTTTCAACACGATGTTTTTCTGCTTAGATCAGCCGCTTTCTGTTGTTTGCAACTAAGAACCCTGATAATGACAGCAAAGACCGTGTTTGTCTAGTTCAACAAGCCAAAGGTTTTGTAACATAATTTGTCTGTGTTTCTCCTATAGCCTGGGAGGTCCTCAAAGCAGCTAGCTTAACTCAGTCATCTTTGTGTCTCCAGGGACGTGCTGGAGATACATGTACTAAATAAATGAATGGACTGAACTGAAGAGCAGTGATTTCCCCCAAGGTGGGTTCTGGTTCATCCAGCCATTTCACTGAGCACAGCCCTTTCTAGGAATAAGACTGGGTTCCAGCTTTTAGGGCCTCTCAGAGTGGGGGGTGGGGGTGGGGGTGGGGTGAGAGGCAGGTAAACGGATTTTTACAATACCAGGTGGCAATTCCAGTAACAAAGGAATGCACAGCACAGACAGCAACGGATTCCCTGGCTGGGATCGCAGAAAGCTTCTCAGAGATGTCAAATGAATGGATTCTGTGAGGATGCCCCTAGGTGCGTGGACAGGAGGGGCCAGGTGTGGGAAGGAGCAGCTGTAGAAACGTTGGGAGGGGAGCTGAGGCAGCCCGAGGGCGCACCGTTGCTGGGTGGCAGCGCTCCGCAGGGGTCAAGCGTGGGGCCGGGAGGGCGGGGTGGGCTTGCCCAGAGGGCAGCAGCCAGAAGGTGAAGACACGACGTAGTCGTAGGGGGAAGGGCGGCGTTCCTGGCGCCCTCGTCCGCGGCGGGGCACAACGTCGCAGAGGCCGGGCGGGGAGCACTGACCTGCAGGCGGGCCACACAGCAGAAGGCGGCCGAGGGGTTTCGGAGATGGATCCGCTCGCTCAGCAGGTTGCTGCCATAGGCGAAGTACAGAAAACTCTCCTCTTCCTGGCCCTGCTGGTCCTCGCAGCCCGAGTTCGCCATGTCCCGCCAGACGCCTGTACGTCCCCGGCGTAAGCAGCAGGGGCTTGGAGAGAGGACGGCGATTGCAGCCGGGTGCCCGGTGACACCAGCTCAGTGGCACCCGCCACTGGAGTTAGGGGAAAGGTGGGGTGTGCGGGCGGGGCGAGTCGGGTGCGAGCGCTCTTCTGATTGGCTATAGGCATCAACGACGCTAGTCGCCCCTTCTGATTGGCCAAGTCCACCGCCTCTCTCCACTTTCCACTTGGACTCGGAAATGCTCCGTCCAGAGGTGACCGGGGTCTGATTCCTCATTGGACACGCTCCTGTCTTGGCCCGCCCCCGTGGTCAAGACGGCCTCTGATTGGCTAGTGGTCGGGCGCTACGCGGAGGCAGGTTAGGCCTCGTGGTCTCGGTTCGGGGGTCGTGGTACGTGGGTCCCAGCCAGGTTTTCTCACCTTCGTGCGTGGGCTGGGGGCGGGCGCGTTTGGTTACGTGGCCGGTGTGTGATTTAGGGAGTTGTGGGCCGATTTGAGGTGAAACTTCGGCCCTGTTTCCGCATTCGGCAGCTCGACTCCGGCCGGGTTTGGAGGAGGCGGTGAGGACGGGTCTGTTCACCCCACACGCTGGTTTCCGCATCCCCAGCCCTGATGGTCTCCCTGATACCTTTTCTAGGGACCCTTTGCCTCCTGGAGAAGCCCCTCTGAACGTCTCCGGCTCCCTTCCCTGACGCTGCCGGTTGGTGTAAGTATTAAAGGAGAAATTTGTCCATGTCATTAAGTGCAAAATCTCCAGTGTAAAATAAGATACAGAAGTATAAAAACAGTGGAATAAAACCCTGTATTGTTAACTTTGAAATGAAGGTATTAGTAGGAACTCGGGGACTAGAAGCAATATCCTTGACACCCAGATTTTGACCTCTAAATACCAGTCTCCGCTAGAAGGTACAGGGCTCCCTGGAGGAAGGGCTGAGGCCAGGTCAGGAACTGGGAATGAATGAGTGCTTGGAATATCTGGACAGAAAGTCGGGAAATATCCAAGAAAAATTAGGTCCTTTAAAAAGACATGGGAGCCAGCTTGAAGGGGTGCCCACTGGCCAAAGTTAGAACAATTTGAGCATCAACTTTAAAAACTTCAGTTGATTGAAAATGTCAAACAAATAAAAGTCATTTTCCGGAAAGAGTGGGCCAAGTCTAAAAAAACAACAATTTTTTTAAAACCCCATTCATGGTACTGGTGGTGACTGTTATACCAACTCTACTCTGAGAAGTGGTAATTGAAGAAAATAAACATTTATCCTGCCTTTCTAGTTGCAGGTGTATTTCAAAGTAATTAGATAGTCCCAGTTGATGTGAAAACAGTTCTTCTTACAAAAATATGCCAGCTAAATAATGTGAAATGAATGATCGAAAGTCACCATTTTGTAGACTGTAATGACTGACTCATTGCCAGCATCATGAATGAAACCATTTGGTGAAAGGGCAGTAGGAAGCAGAGTAATAACATGTGCACAATTATTCCCCAGGGGTAACTTGCTGGTCATCACTGGGAAAACAATGACACTGGAAAAATTTAGTCACTCCCACCTTAACATAGATGAATCTTATCATCACTAAACGTGGACCAACCTGACATTCTGTGTCTCCAGCATCGTCTGTGAGTATTCTTTAACTGCAACATAACATAATCAAGCAGGAACTACAGGATTGAAGGAAAAAAATGACACCCAGAGGAAAAAACTAAAGCAAATGATAGGACATTCTGCAGAACAAATAGCTTAGTCTTTTAAATTAAGTCAGTGTCATTAAGAAAAATAAAGCCCTTCCCTGCATTTGTTGGGCTGCTGCTCGTCCGGAATCATGGTGCCGTTACTGTGGAAGGGGCTGGTGGGCATCGGCCTTTTTGCTCTAGCCCACTCGGCCTTCTCTGCTGCGCAGCATCGCTCTTACATGCGATTAACAGAAAAGGAAGACGAATCGCTGCCAATAGATATAGTTCTTCAGATACTTCTGGCCTTTGCAGTTACCTGTTATGGTATAGTTCATATTTCAGGGGAGTTTAAAGACATGGATGCCACTTCAGAACTAAAAAATAAGACATTTGACACGTTAAGGAATCATCCATCATTTTATGTATTTAATCATCGTGGTAGAGTACTGTTCCAGCCTTCGGATACAGCAGATTCTTCAAACCAAGATGCGTTGTCCTCTAACACATCGTTGAAGTTACGAAAACTTGAATCACAGCATCGTTAAGATTTTTACAAATCAACAACAGGACAGGACACAGAGCTGGAATATTGGAGTTTGGGGTATAAAACACCTCCCCCATTGGTACTTATATTGATCTTTCAGACCTACTTTTAAAAAGTCTATGCCCCTTGTTTTTATACTGTTCATCAAATCATTGATGCAGTATAAATTATCTGTAAAATGAGTTTTTGGTCTTTAGAGTTTTTTTCATTTAAAACAAATTTGCATATTTTGTAAAAGTCACTGTTTTGAACACATTTCTTTGAAAAAAATGTTTATGTTTTTGTAATCGTTTTCTTAGATTTCTTTTGCACTACAGTTTTTAGGATCCTTTTGTAAACATTGTGATGACTGTATGTTACAGCAAGAATGATAGTAAAATGGTCTTTAGTTCTTAACGACAAATGGAGTTCTCGAAAGAGATTAAAAAAGGTGACTTATCAGTTTTTCTTATGCCCCCTAAAAAGTAGCTCAGCTTTAGCATATACTTGCTACTTTTTAATTTATCCTTTATTTCTCACCCCACCTGACTCCCATGTACCTTCTAACATCAATTATTTTGTTTCATCACTTCTCTGGGGTTCTTTGTGCAGTGAGCAATTTTTTTGTGTCAGCAATTCTTTGTCATAACAAATATATTTAACAAACTCAACTTGATGTAAAGCTACTGTGTTCTCTTCATTTATCTGTAAACAATTTCCCTAATTGGTTATATAGTATAAGAATAGTTGGAGATAGACCAGAAAGACCCTTTGATTAATTATCTGGCCTATGTAGAAGAATAATAATCACTGAGGAAGCCTGATTATCATTAGCCAGTTTAACTTATTCAAAGACTGTTATTTTATTGCATACTATACTATTGAATTAGTAAAAATAAATGTGTCATTAAAGGTAGACTTCAAAGGAATTGGGCCAAAAATGTTCTAAATGTTTGGAACTACTATCTTAAATTTTTAAATAAATTAACATCATTTAAGAAATTGTTCTGTGGCTTTTGACTTGTAGCAGGCTTAGAGTTTTCCATCTTCGTTGTATGTTACTAAAGATGAGGATGAGGATACAGAGGAGAACTTTTTTAGGAACGGTAATTTTAGTTTTAGGGAAATTTGACTAACACTTTGATCTGCAGAAAGCTTAACATTTTTTTTTGTAGAGAACTTTGCTTTTACTGAATTCTGCAGGTATGAAAACACTGCTTATGTTGAATTGTATAAATGTAAAGGGAATAATCAGGCAGATTTGAAAAAGAAATGGACTTTAGGCAAGAGTCATGACTGTGTGATGCCCTCATGCTTGGTGGCATGTTCTCCACTAGAAATGGACCTCGGCCTCTTCGGTTCTGTCTGGTAATGCACAGCCCCAAAGCAGCAGAGGATTTTGTTATTGGGCTTTTACTGTTCAGTTTTGTTTTGCCAACCTAGTCTGTCTATGGAGAATTAACTCTGCTCTCTAAGGAAAACAAAGTTAGAAATCTTCTGATAACCTAAAATTAGGAGAGTTAAAAATGTGAAGTCAGAGTTTAAAAGTGGTGATAATAGAATCAAAATTCTAGCCCTGGCTGCTTTGGCTCAGCGGTTAGAGCGTCGGCCTGCGGTCCAGAGAGACCCGGGTTCGGTTCCCGCTAAGGGCACGTACCTCGGTTGCAGTTTGTCCCCGGCCCTGGTTGGGTCGTGCGGGTGGCAGCCACTCGACGTGTCCCTTTCACGTCGATGTTTCTCTCTCTCTCTCTTCCTCCCTCTCTATCTAAACAAACAAAACAAACAAACAAAGCAGAATCAAAATTCTATAGGGTGTGAGAAACAGCCCCTTTCATCAGGTTGTCATACACGTGTCCTCTGGGATGACTGGATTCCCAAGAGCCTCTTGTTTCCTTCTCTTGGGGTTGTCTTTCCTGACATGTTTTAATAATAAGGTTATTAAGATGTAACTCACATACCTTACAGTTCACCCATTTAAAAAGCACAGTTTGGTGATTTTGTAATATCGTCAGTCACTAGTTGTGCAGCCATGACCACAGTCAATTTGAGAACAGTGTCATCACCCTCAAAAGAAACTCTGTACCCTTTAGTAGTCATATCTCATTTCCCCCCAATACTTCCCAGCCCCGAGCAACCACTAATCTATTTTCTGCCTTCTCTGATTTGCCTGTTGTGGTCCTTGAATATAAATGGATTCGTTCCGTATTTGGTCTTTCATGAACAAATACGGTTTTGTTCTGTAAGGAGTGGAAACAGTTTGTCACCTTGAGAACTGTGGTTGCTGTGAAAGGGAGTGGTTGGTGAAATCAGTGGGTGTAAGGACAGGGGGTCAGATAACCTCCCAGGTTTCTTAGTCAACCTTATGCTAAGTAGTTTTGCCTCATAACCAAGCATTCACGATACACACATTTGGCTAGTCTCTAGAATGGATTTTGCAATCTTTGCCTGCCCAGTCAGGAAAGTCCTGCTAAAAACGATGCCAAGTAATTTGACAAATAATTGATAGAGCAGTTTTCAGGCACGTCTCACTTTGCTAGCAGCTTGTCTATCTTGGGCCCAGTGAGCTTCCCAAATGTCTTTAATTTCCTCTAGTGAACTTCTGCTCTTTTTCCACTGTGCACCACAGGACTGGTGGCGATTTGGGTGCGTCATAATAGTGCTAAGTGATTAAGTTCAAAATTTTATTTCTAATACTATAAGAGACAATCCACAGCTACCTAGAGTAGTTCCAAAAATGTAGTAAAATGTAGTAATGTGAGCTACTTCAGCCTGCAGTTGTGTATGATTCCAGTGACGTTCAGAAATTTGAACTATTGACTCTGTAGAATACGGAGAGACTCGCTTCTTAATAGCCGGAGAAGCAACTACATGCTGGGGGCTAATGGCCCAGCTACAGAAAACCCAGATCGGGGAAGGTGAATTGGAGGCATGTCGTAACTCCCTAATGATTGTTTCCTGAACTGTAGCTGCTTTTTCAGTGACGTGACAGCATCTTCCCGGTTGTGTGTGGCCCGTCACCATGATGCACTGAGTAGTGTTATTTGTTTGGAGCTTTGATGCCTGTTACACCAAGTTAAATACATTCGTTTGTATATGTTTCCTCTCTTTAAATAACATGCCCTGTCTAATAAATGATTGTCTCACCTTCAAAAAAATAAAAATAAGTAAAAAGCAAGACTGAGCACAGGCTGTTATAGATTAAAAGAAACTTCAGAGCCCGGCTAGTGCGACTTAGTGGATTGAGCAACGTTCTGTGGACTGGAGAGGTCCTGGTTCGATTCCTGGTCAGGGCACATGCCTGGGTTGTGGGCTCTATCCCCAGGGGGGCGTGCAGGAAGCAGTTGATTGATGTTTAGTCAGGGGTGCTGGCCTCTTTTCCCTTCGATTGTTAAATAAAAAAAACAGCCGGTTTGGCTCGGCGGTTAGAGCATCAGCCTGAAGACCAAAGAGTCATGGGTTCGATTCCTGTCAAAGGCATGTACCTTGGTTGTGGTTTGGGCCCCAGCCCAGGTCAGTCATGTGGGAGGCAACCAATTGGTGGTCTCTTTCATAACGATGTTTCTTTTTCTGTCTCTCCCTCCCACTGTGTCTGAAAATAAATGGAAAAATAACCTCGGGTGAGGATTAAACAACAAAACAAAATAACTTCAGAGACATAATAACCAAACGCAATGGCTTACCCTTGGTTCTGGTTTAATAAACGAGATATAAAAGATATTTTGGGGACAGTTGGAGAAATTTGAATGTGGACTAGTGCAGCTATTTCCAGCCTTTTCATCCCACGGCACACGAACTAATTACTAAAGTGCCGTGGCACACCGAACAGTAAATTTTTGCTAATCTAACAACAACAAAAAATAGGCATAATTTTGATTCATTCACGAATCAGCTATTGTTGTGTTGACTGTTGTCATTTTTTTTTATTTAACGATCGAAGGGAAAAGAGGCTAGCACCCCTGACTAAATAGTCAGGTATTGCATGTTTTAACATTTCCCAGCACACCAGTGAAGATTGCTAGACTAGGGTATTAGATGATATTAGATTAGACACTTGTAAAAAATTAGGTGTGATAATGACACTGTGCTTTTGGAGAAAAAAAATCTGGTGTATTTAGGGGTAAAATGTTTGCTATCTATATTTTATTTTAAAATTTCTCTTTATTGATTTTTAGAGAGAGAGGAAGAGAGAGGGTGAGAGAGATAGAAACATCCATGAGAACATTGACGGGCCGCCTCCTGCACACCCCCCACTGGGGATCAGGCCCACAACCTGGGCATGTGCCCTGACTGGGAATTGAACTGGTGACCTCTTGGTGCATGGGTCGATGCTCAACCACTGACCCACACCGGTTGGACTGCTATCTATATTTTAAAATAATTCAGGAAAATAAAAATATGGAAAGTGTTAAATATTAAACTGAGTGATGTATGTATGTATGGTCATTTTATTATTTAATCCTTTTCTATATATTTGAGCATTTAAAAAGGAAAAAAAAGCTTATATATGTAAAGTACTTGGCATATTGCGAGCACTTAGTAAGCAATAACATTCTTATATAATCTGAAAATAGGAAGGTTCATATCCTTCCTCTGCCCCCCTCCCCCCCCCAAAATAAACCCAATATCAAGGCAGAACTTGAAATAGTTATTTTGTCATTTCAGTGAGCAAGTTGCTTTTCTTGGCAAGACTATGAATTGCACCATGAATTCTCAAGGCTGGTGCCTTGGAGCACTGCCATTTAAAAATGTTCTGTTTAGCCCTGAGCGGTGGTTAGAGCGTCGGCCTGCGGTACAGAGAGACCCGGGTTATGCTAGGGGCGCGTACCTCGGTTGCAGTTTGTCCCTGGCCCTGGTTGGTCGTGCGGGTGGCAGCCACTTGGTGTGTCCCTTTCACGTCAATGTTTCTCTCTCTCTCTCTCTCCCTCTCCATCTCCATCTCCATCTCTATCTCTTCCTCTCTCTCCCTCCCACTCTGTCTGAACAAAGAATGGAAAAATGTCCTCAGGTGAGAATTTTAAAAAAAGTGTTCTGTTTAGACACTTAAAATGTATGTGCTTAATTATTTTTGAAATATTTGATTTTTTTCTCTTAATATACGTCTCACTAACTGTGTAATTTTATGATGATTGATTTTTCTCAAGATCATTTTGCAAAAATTTTCTGAACTTAAGCATTGATGTTTCCCTTAAAAACTGAAAATCTTTTCTTACTCCAATTCAGCCTTTTATTTAGCTTCTCCCAGTCGATTGCAGTGTACTGACCCCTTTAGGCCAGCAGGGGTGATAGGTAACAAAGTTTTTCTTTGGTTCATTTCTTTTGTTTTTAAAACTTAACCAAAGTCTGGTTAATATTACATCCATTGAGTGCTTATTAGATGCCAGGCACTAGTCTAAACTTTTATATATAATAGTAAATATAATAGCACATTTAATCCTGCCAATATCCCTCTGCATACAGTTTTACTATTCTCATTTTACAGGTGAGGAAACAGGTGCGGTAGGTTAACTAACTTGCCCAGGTTGTAGTTAGCAGTGACTGAACTGGAGGTTAACAACCAAGCAGGCTGATTACTGGGTACTGCTCTCCAAATTTCTTAAGTCATAAAGCCCCGGCAGCCTGGATATAACTGGTTATTGTTAGGGAAGGGGAGAGCTTCCCCTACCCCCTCACTCTTTAGATATTACAGCTGGACTAATAAACTTGACACAAAACTAGATTAACAGGAGAAACACCAGTTGAATACATGCACATGGGAGAATTATAACATGGTGCTTAGATAAACTTTCTAGATAAAGAAAAAAGAAACTGCCCTGGCTGGGTAGTGGTTAGAGCATCAAACCTTAATCAGGTTCGATTCTGGTCAAGGACACGTACCTTGGCAGCGGTCGGGGTCGTGGGGGAAGCAACCAGTCAATGTAGCTCTCACATCGATGTTTCTCTCTCTCCCTCTCTCCCTCCCTCCCACTCCATCTGAAGATAAATAGAAAAATATCCTTGGATGCAGATAAAAAA